GGATCAGGGCAAAGCTACAGGCTGCCCTGCTGGGAAGTAGCGTTATATAGGTGGATTTTAAATTGCTGCTGTGTAGAAAGCCTTACAGACCTTATAGACACCCATGTCTGCAACAGGGGACAAGTGTGATCTCCGTACTTCATGAGAAAAGAAATTTCTTTGAAAAGGTACCCAGATTCTTTACATGACAATGACCAATGTTCCAGACTAACAAAACTATTCCATACCACCATATAATGCTAAAAGACTCCATCATGAAACAACTATACTTCAGAAAGTACTCCTTTGTTCTACCTTTTTTTTTGTTACATCTGCTAGAAATAATGACTACAGAATCTCTTTCAACAAAAGGTCATTTATGTCAATGGACAGAACACAGAGGATCAGATCACCTGCTGTAATTGCAAATTAATGCTCTACTGCTAATGCATTAACTACACAATATTGATCTACAATTGAATCATACAGGCTACTGTGAAGTGATTTTTACTTTAATATTTTTATGCTTTTATTGCTTTTTCCATAACACATTTTCTCTTTCCGCTGGAATTTTTTATAATTGTTTCCCATTTTAATTTCCTGCAGCAAGATGACTTTTAAAAATGTATGTCTCTTCCAAAGCCTTGCAAAAATCTAACAAACCATCAGTCTGCCACGGTAAATACAGACATGATGAAAAAAATTAAAAAAAAATCCAATATACATCTTATTTTGATACATTTAGGCTTTAAAAAAGTTTACTTAAATTAAAAATAAAATACTTCAGCCTCGCTGTAAGCCTGTAGTAATGAACTGTATCTCAGGTCATTAGAAAGATGCAGCTAGACATTTCTGGAGCTTTTGCTATGGAGTGAGTGCAGGATTATCTCCATAAATAAAACTGTTATTATTTTTTAATTTCATATCTGTACTGAAAAAGGATTGGTGGATTCAGGTATGTTAAAAAAAGTATAGTGCTATGGAATCAGCTGAAGAAGGATTGAAAGGTTTCATCATTTATAATGAGAAATTAAAAAACAAACGGGCTCTTTTTGCAACATGTCAGGCGTCCATACAGGGGAAGAATGCTCTGTTAAATTGCTGTACGAAATTTTAATGCCAGCTACTTCTGACTACAATGATTCAGGTTTTTTCTATACCTGCTGCAAACTTCCTTATACACAAGCTTTTCACGAATAACAATGCTAAGATGTTGCCCGCCATCTTTTAAAGGAGGGGATAGAACATATTTTGAATACTGAAACTCTCTCCCCAAACCATTTTCTAATATAGCTGCTTAATAGCACTTGAGGTGGTTATGGCATATAGCAAAATATGGCTTACCACCTATCTCCTGACTTGCATTCCTATGTACAATGATTTTGTAAATGGAAAATAAATCCCCATGTTTTAAAAATAAAAGCAATTGGAATTGGAAAAAATAATGGAGAACTGATTGTAGGTCAAATAGCTGCAGAGGAAAATCTGATCTTGCTTTTAATGGAAGAACATTTATTATTCATAAACCTTTCCTCTAACAGATATGCCATACTGCAATTAAATCAACTCACACAAAGCCTTCTTATTATCCCAGCCCATGAATGTCACCCTCCCATTGCAGAGAAGACACGGGTCTCTTGTTGAGCCACAGTGAAGGGAAGCCCAGTGGCCAAGCAAGTTCTGCTCTCCCAGGCTCTCTAGCTGGGCTCCATGGATGGATCAATATGGTCTGTGCTACTTAGCAGTTATTACGAGACTGTGTTTAATACTGGATTATCTGACATTCCCTACCCTTTTAAAATGCTGCCAATGAGGAATTCTGTGTGCCTCTGGATCCATCGTAAAGTGTCCTTGCAGTTTTGGAAACATGAAGTCAGATCACAAAATGTGCAGTATTACGTCAGTCCAAGCGTCTAATCAGAACCAAACAGTGACAGAAACAGTGTCCAAAGCAGATACCTGGGATCAAGCTATGGGACACATACATAATTCCTCCAGTCATGGCCAGGCTTCGCGAACAAAGATTTGGGAAGGGCTCTACCCACATTTGTTGCAGGCGCGTTGGTGGCTAAAAAGGCCAATATGAGATAGGCATGTCCGGTTGCAAAAGGCACAGCAGAAAGACTCCTTAGATGGTATATTCTGCAAGGCACGATTCTTTCTGTGTTGTCTTTTCTCCTCAAGAATGATCCTGCGTGCTTTCTCAAAAGCATCAGCAGCGTCATAGATGGTGTGTCTCCAAGCCTCCTGATTGGAGGCCAGAGTAGACCAGTTATGGTGATCAATATGGCCAAGGCTGAGATGTTGTTTTAGGGAGTCCTTGTATCTTTTTTTCAGGGCTCCTCTCTTGTGGCAGCCAGTGGCAAGTTCACCATAAAGCAGGATCTTAGGGAGGCGGTGGTCCTTCATCCTGGAGACGTGCCCTGCCCATCGCAGCTGTGTTCTCAGTAACTGCCCAACACAGCTGTGTTCTCAGTAACCCTCCAGTAGAGTCCCAGCTTTTAACTACTTAACTCAGGGACTTGCTATGCAGTGAATCTTAATTAGTGAATCATTCAGTAGACCCCTTTATTTGATGCTATCTACAAATTCTGTACTTGCTCTGTATTTTGGTACTGAGAAAGCAGAAGTGAACTGTCAAAGCTGTAAGCAACAGAGGTTGTGACTGTTGAAGAAACAACCTGGGCATTTGATACCAAGGATATGTGAGAGAGATTGGGATTCAGGAAAGGATATATTAGCTGGCTATTTGTATGACTTTGTTAAGAAGAAAAACAATGGTAATGATTCTCATAATCCTAAAGAGGTTACAAAGATGACCTGTGAAGATGAGGCTGTCTTCTTCCCTCTATCACAATGTATCTTGTCTGAGAAGCAAATAAAAGTTTCAGTGTAATCACAGTTAAGTGTATTTCTTCTAAGATTGCCTATAGAGATTACACATTTCCTTCTCCCTTCCATTTGTCCTTCCCAACATAAGGGAAAGACTTAGGGCCTGTACTCACAATCTTGCATGAAGTTTACTAAAGGCTTATTCTAAAATAAATGCAATTGAACTAGTTCAGACCCTTACCTACACAGCCACTTTAGAATCCATTTATCTGAGATTAGTTTAAATGACTTCTCTACTTTACTGAAACAGAAAGAAGCCACTCAAACTGAGGATACTTCTGATCCCAAGGATTTTAAAATCAGTTCTAGAGATGATTTACGTTAAACTCGTGAAATCTAGGGACAAGAAAAGAGTTTTTTCACCATCTCGGAGAAAATCTGTTGAAAAGAGAAATTGTTCTGTAAAGACTAAAAGATCAGTATAGATCCAAGTGATTTCTGTAAGCCAGTTTCAGAGAATTTGATTAATTTTAAAAAGAAAACAAGAATTAATGCTTTGTAAATCAAATATTCTTTCTCTTGGGCACTGACTGGGATGTCTGCATTAAATTATATTTCAGCATTTCCCATTACCATTGGTGCAAATCGAAAAGACATAATAAAAAATAAACAGCTACACAGTCTATATAAAGAAAAAGTGCGCGACATTAAAAACCTTTAGTTTTAGTCATTCAGAAAAAGACACAACAGATGTAAAACAGAGAAGCATTCCACTCTGTGTAGTTCAGATCATGTAACATTGCTACAGACAAAGCCATTGAAACTGCAGCTCTATTAGCAATAACAAACCAAATGTATCTTGACCACTAAAAACATTTCCTTGCCAATACTATTTTTTTTTGTAGACAAATGCTGCTCTGTACTTTGCACCATTACTTAGTATTTATATGCAAGAAACTCTCAGATCATTGTGCAAGAAAAGCAGATCTTTCATCTGTCCATGCAAAAAAAGAGTTTGAAGCATTTTAATACAAACTTAAAAAAAAAGGAAACGGTATTCGTAAATCAAAAGAACACAGCAAGTCTACAAAAAAGCAGCAGTCTTCTACTTCAGCTCCCAGAGATGCTAATTTTGATGTGCATTAAAAAACCCAACCAAACCAAACACTGAGTTGGCTTTTTTTTTTTGTGAAACATAGCAAACAAATGACTAATCTCAGCAGTCACTGTAGCTGTGTAAAAAGGATGGTCACACTGAATCTAATTTCAATGTCAAAGTGAATTTTGGGAATGAAAACACTCCAGTCATCCCAGGGAGTGACACAAAGCCGATATTCACAGGATCCACAGTTGCTGTCGCCTAGGGTGGGACCTACATATAAAGGGGCTGAACATCTACCAGAATGTAACAATATATAATGGAATAATATAACAAAGACCACCTGCTCCTCAGCCATTCTAACATACATGCTGCAATGGTGCCCTGACATGCCTAGCAGAGCAGGTAAGGGGCTGATTTCCAGCCAATTTTCTGGTGCTCAAAATACCATGCCACCAATGCTTCCTTCCATGACAGGGACTAACTAACCATGCCAGTCTGGCCAGGACCTCAAAACAACCCATCAGCCTCCACTACTGTATGCAGTCTAACACCTCGCTTCAGTGCAATGCCAGCACCATATGCAAGAGATACAGCTCTACACCTCCTGTTTCAATAAATAGGCTTAAGGGACACAGATGCCTGGACCAACAGGAGTTACTTTAAATGGGCTCTCTGTGAGACCAAAGTAGTACTCTTTGAAAGCCCTCTCCCCTTGAGAAGGCTCTGCAGAAAAAAACCCTGAGAATAATGAAAGAACGGGTAGCTCTTGCTTAACTCTGTGTCAACCTTGTTTGTATGACATGAGAGAGATGTTTAAATTTTAAATCCTGGAAGTCAGAGATAAAAAGTGGTAACAAACTCATGGCCAGCCTTTTCCCAGATTGGTATTGCAACACCCAAAGTTTTCTTTTGGCAACTCCTCCTCCATGTGAAATAAATGTCTCTTAGCAAGAAGCACAAAGTTAAAAACATGAAAATTCCTTTCAGTGGTAGAAATCCCCCACTATTCGAATGTTTGAAAGGAAGATATATTGTGATCTTCATTACAGTTATTTCAATTTTAATGTTTCAAAGAAAGAAGAGATACCTGTAAAACAGAAGCCCCACTGTGTAGAAACTGAAGCCCAGCTTCAGCAGAATCGATGCCTCCAGTTGCTAAAATGGGAAATCCTGGGAGAGCACGGGCTATGGCAGACACTGCGCGGAGGGCGATGGGCCTGATAGCATTTCCTACAGAAAACCAGAACATTTTGTTAGCAATGTCAGAACAGACCCTGATGCAACTTGCACATCCCTCACAGTAGGAACATGAGGAACTAACATCTGAGGTGCAGAGGCTATATTCATTCATAAACTGAAACCAAGTGGGTTTCAAATGGTATCAATACTTGTAAAGCACTATGCATTTTGCTGAAATACAGAAAATGGCAGAAACATTTGGATGAACACTGCAAAGCTAGCTCAAACATTTTAGCTGTGCTCAAAACAAAGACTAACATGTCTGAGACAGAAAGCAATACTTTACCACACAGTACACTAGACAAAGAGATTTATGTTTCTACATGAAGAATCAGGTTGATTTTTTGAACATAGATAAACATGTTGTCCAAGTAAGAGTAAAAACCTCATTTATTTATGTCCAACTAAAAGTTGTTTAAAAGTACCATTTCACTGCACTTGAAATTTCATATTTTATTTGTTTCCCCTCTGGATGTTTGTAAATTCAGATAATCCTTTATGTAAGTCCCCTTTAACAATCAACATAATAGTCAAAAGAATAAACTATATTCATTTATGGTAGTATCTCCAAGACTGGGGCTTGCATTTCAAATGGTATATAGAGGTTGAGTCAGAAAACTCCCTGCTATATTTACAGGAACTATGATTAAAGTCCCAATACACTGTGTCTGCAATGTGTCTTTTTTGCTATGTTCTATTGGTGGTATGCAAGTATTTAAAATACAGATGCTGCTTATGAGATGATGGATAGACAGATAGCTGACACTTTCAGTTACCTTTTTTTTAGGCTAGTTGGGATTTCTGTAGAGAATATTAAAATTCCTACTTAATTTAATGAACCTTTAGGATAATTTGATGTCATCATTGGACAACAATACAGTACTGGAAGGGCAAGACACATCACCCCTAGAGGAACTGTCTGGCTGTGGCTGTCAGATCTTTCCCCCACCCCTCCCTTGGTACTGTATTAGGTAACAGCAACTAAACTTTCATGTGCATAAATGGACAGTCAAACCCAAGATGCACCATTGGTGTGTTTTCATGAAAACTAGAGCCTGAGTAATAAAAATTGGAAATCTCACTAAAACTGCTTTAAAGAATCTAAGACCACAACAGAAAATATCACAAAAAAGGAGCTGGAGTTGAGCAGGAACTTTCCATAGGACACTAATGAATATTTGCTGTCATTTGAGCTAGATCGGTTGTAACATGTTTGAAAAGAACAGAATGATTCTCCGAAAGAGGATGATTGTTAAGTGTCCAAAGAGCAAATATTTTGACAGAATTAATAGTCCAGTCTTAGAGAAATGCTTGAGGAAAAAAAAAAAAGAAAAATGGAAACCATGCTGTTTGGTCTGATGGGTTTATTTATAAAGCTTTTTGGAAGGCATACAGGCCAAAACACACCCTACACAGCCAAAACCATTGAAAATAATCTCATCAAAAAACAGTAGTTCATGAAATTCTTCAAATATCAGTGTTTGAAATTGAGGCTAGAAGTAAGCATCAGACTTGTTGTATTGCTTTCAGCCAATGACACAGCTGCTCCAGAATTTCACTGTGATGAGGTAGTTGTTTTTTTAGAAAGGTGAAACAATACAGGCACTAATAACTCCGAAATCATGTAGCTAGAGGGAAATTTCTTCCCAATCTGCTTGAGTTAAAACCTGACATCTGCCTTGAGGCATGAATGTTTATACTCTTTTAACCCCCATGTAACTTTTAGAATTTGCATTCAATCAGTTTTAAAGCCTTATAGACCCTTGACCTTAATAACAGCTTGTAGTAAAGAGCTACACAAGAAAATATTTTCAGAATATAATTGTTCCTTTCTTTAGTATTATTAAATTAGCCACCTTCTCACTTAAATGACTGTCTCTGTACAATGGCCAATAGAAGAAAAGGAGCAAATGTCAGTTTATTTAAGGTTTAAGCACAACAGGTAATCAGAAAGGTCTTCATTCAGCCCAAAGAAATCAAGCATGTGATTTCATGAAGTCTAGCAGAGATGGCAATGAGACTTAGAATTTATTATGGAACACAGGTACTTTTTAGTACTAGCTGAACTTGATATTCATAATATGAGTTATTACTTACATTTGGTGATTAGTAAATTAGTGATAAATTGGTATGATTGCAAAAGTATTCCATTCATTTATAATTCACTCAAATGAATTTAAAAACATTTCAGGAGTGCTTTTGATGAGAGTAAATAAATGGCTGTAATGACAATCAGAGGGTTGACTAAGGTGTCACCATTCATCCCAGCTTTTTTTTTTTTTAATTAGTCTACAGCATACAAAACAAGCACAACATAAGGTGTAGCCATTCTCCCATACATTTTTTGATCAACAGTTCAGAAGCTTCCCCCTCCATAACAAAAGCAGCTGGTCTGGAATACAATGTGATTTGCTTGTAATAGTGAAACAACCTTTCAGATTAAAGCAAAAAAAAAAAAAAGAAAACAAACAATAGTGATGCCAAGCTATTAAAATAGGCAATTAAAAAAAAAGAAAGCAAATGAACACTTGATTTGACCTACAGTCTCTATTTTCTTGCATTTTCGTATGAGTACCATAGGAAGGTAATAAATTCAATTATAGAGATCTGTGGAGAAGGAGTTTTTAAAAGGCTGAAATAAAGGAGATTTAATCCCAAACTTTAAAGGACCTGTAAGTAGTACTGCGAATTTGCAGAATGTTGTCTGATAAATCCTATGGTATTTAAGAAGCTGAGGTCCAAATCCAGCATGCATTTGAAAGACAGCTCACATACTAAAAGATAAGCATCTACCACCTACTTTGACATGTTGGGACCTGTAATTCCACTAGTTAAGCACCCGTAGCTGAGGAAACTGCTGATATGGTACTCTCTTGATAGAAGCATTACAGCTGCTACCAAATGCTAGATATGGCTATCATTTACCTTGCTGTAAAATAATGAGATTTAATAAACAAAGTCCATTTATCCAGATCTCAGGCACAGGAGTGAAATATAAAAATGAAAGACAGAGAAATACCTCATGAAGATGACATGCTACTCTGTGTTGAAAACTACTCTTCCAAATCTCATGAATCATGGAAAAATATTTGCTACTATACAAAGCTATAAATAGTGAAAAACTACATGATGTGAAAGTCCCTTAACTTTTTCTTGCCTTAAAACAAAGAGCTTTGGCTTTATTTTCTTTTTAATAAAAAGTCAGATTTTTCAGAATATCAGAGACTGCAGTCAAAGCAATCCAATAGGCAAAACACAACATGAAGGAGAAGCAGAACATACATCAATCAAACGCCTCTCCCAGATCAGCACAGGTAGGCAGAGCTGCCCTTGTCTACTGAGGATAGCAGTCTGATGATAAACTCATGAGAGACATTATATCTGCTTATTTGTTTGACTGTTTATTTTTCCTTTGGAAGTAAGAAACCCTTTACCAATGCCAGAAGACACATGTTTTATTATGACTTCATATGTCCTTGGAGTCCCCAGAGGACTCAGTCTTGTTAAACATCAAAAATGTTCACTATGTTGAGGCTTGAGAGCCAAACTTAATGTCTTCTTCAAGAAGCCTGGTTTTAAACTTCAGGCAACCCAGTAGCTTTAGAAGTTCCCAGCAGAAACAATTCAGATCATCTTGATCCCAGTGATCCACCAATGGGAGAAAAAAATAGTCTCAGAAATCTTGAATACTGGGCTACATTCTTCCTTGCAATACATTGGACCAGTGTGATAGTTTAGTAATAGTTCTCAACACATATATGCAGCAGCTCTCTAACTGGGGCCTTTGAGTAAAGATGATCCAGGTCCATGAAAAAACAGCTAACAGAACGGAAGTGAATCAATTCAGACTGATAATATGGAGCCTGAATCTTCAAACAATCCAAACAGTCTCAATGGTCTTTATCAAACTCTCCATCAACAAGAGAAACAGATTTTAAAGGAAAGCAAACTCTCATACATTTGGATAGCAAATCACCTAAAACCACATTTTGGTATCTATGGTTACTAGATGGAATAAAAATTAATTTGGATCATAATTCTCCCCATTCTGTGCATTGTAAAGTAAAATTATTTTTTAATTCACATTATATTATATTACACTGCAGTTCTTTACAAAATTAATATGAGATTTAAACCAACAAGTCTAAATATTACAAAAAACCCCCAGCTGATACATTATTTTTGATTAATAAATCACCACTAAAGTCTGTGCTGCTAAAAAAATATAAACACCCAAAATCCGAGCAACATCACCTTTCCTCCCTCTGTAGATACTCTCCTGGAAGAAAACTGACATGGTTATCTCCCTGACTGTTACAATTAATAAAGCTAATGACAAAAGAAGCCAATGACAGCAAACCCCAAACTTGGGTGAAAAGCACTACAGAAGGAAAATGATCTGGGAAAGTTCAGGCATTGTAGATGATCAATTCAATGCTTCAGGAAGTAACTAGGTAAGAAAGTTTGGGGATTCAGAAGAAAAAAACCAGAAAACCTAATTCTTTGTTAAGACATTTTCTGCATAATGTATATGCTGCCTAATACTGGTGATCAAAGTACTTTATATAACTGGTATTTGCAAACAGTCCAGGGAAACATGTAGGTTATACACAATCCACCTGCATAGCATTCCTTCTGATTGCAACTAGTCCACACGTTCTTTCTCTCTCCCACCTGTAGGTGGCCACCATAAGCTGCACTTATCAAATAACTCATTAGCAGGGTTTTCAATACTGTCATATCCAGATAATTAGCAATTTATTTAAATAACCAATTTCTGTGGAAATAATTGCCATGGAATGCCCTGAACCTACTTTTTATAAACTATAATAAAAGTGTTAAGATAATCCCTGACATTTGCAAATGCCATTAGTTCACCTTTCCTTTTGATAGTGCTATGGCATTATGTTTAAACAATTACCCGATAACGCGGCAGTTTAATGAAACAGTGTAGCAGACACATCCTTCAAAATGACCAGAGAACACATTTA